CTACTCAACATTTGATCATGATAGTGGGATATATGATGTTGACCGTCTTGATGAAATAATTGATGTGATTGAAGAGGATCTTAGTGACTGTCTTGAGATGTTTGAGAGATTGAAGAGTGATATTGATGAACCATTATACCCCGGTTGTAAAAAATTCACAAAACTATCAGTTATTTTGAAACTATACAACCTAAAAGCAGCGAATGGATGGAGTGATAAGAGTTTCACAAATTTGCTTGAACTCTTATATGAAATGTTGCCTGAGTACAACGAGCTTCCACTTAATACTTATGAAGCTAAAAAAGTACTTTGTTGTATTGGGAAGAGCTATGAGAAGATACATGCATGTCTAAATGATTGTGTCCTCTTTCAAAAAGAGTATTCAACCTTAGATAAGTGTCTAAAATGTGATGCATCATGGTACAAAAGAAATGGATGTAGCCCAGCAAAGGCATTGTGGTATTTTCCAATCATACCAAGATTTAGATGTCTATACAGCATTGCAGAAGATGCTAAACACTTACCATAGCATGCTTATGAGAGAATTAAGGATGGCAACCTACGACACCCTACAAATTCTCCTCAATAGAAAAAGTTTGATCTTATATACCCTGAGTTTGGGGTTGAAGATAAAAACTTACGCCTTGCACTAGCCACTGACAAAATGAACCCACATGGCATGCAAAGTAGTACTCATAGTACATGACCGGTTATTTTGATGATCTATAACCTTGCTCCAGCATTATGCATGAAGCGCAAATTTATGATGCTGTCATTATTGATTTCTGGACCTCGACAACCAGAAAATGATATAGATGTGTACTTAGCTCCTTTGATTGAAGATTTGAAGATTTTGTGGGAGACAGGTGTGGAAGTTTATGATGGGTATAGAGAAGAACATTTCATCCTGCGAGTAATGTTGTTTGGCACCATAAATGACTTTCCTGCCTATGACAATTTATTAGGATACCGTATCAAAGGACGAGATGCATGTCCAGTATGTGAGGAGCACACTTGTTCAGTGTTGTTGGAACATTGTAGGAAGAATGTCTTCATTGGTCATCGACGATTTTTGCCGCAAACACATCATTACCGATGACTGAAGAAGGCCTTTAATGGCCACCCAGAGAAGGGTAGAGTTCCTATGCCATTAACTGGTGAGCAGCTCTTTATAAAGGTCAAAGATTTAAATATTGAATTTGGAAAACCATTTGCAAGTAAGATTGTTAAGAATGGTTGGAAAAAGAAGTCCATATTCTTTAAGCTACCATACTGAAAGACCCTAGATGTTAGGCATTTCCTAGATGCAATACACATCAAAAAGAATGTCTGCAATAGTCTTGTTGGCACATTACTCCACATTTTAGGAAAGAGCAAAGACGGTATTAATGCAAGGATGGATTTGATTAGTATAGGGTTAAGAGAAGAGTTGGCACCAAAGAGGAAGGGAAAACGTACTTTTTTACCTCTAGCAGCTCACACCTTGTCTAGAAAGGAAAAATTAGCTTTTTGTGAATTCTTGCATGAAGTTAAAGTACCAGAAGGATATTCTTCAAATGTAAGTAGCCTCGTATCTATGAAAGACCTCAAACTAGTAGGTCTCAAGACTCATGATTGTCATGTCATCATAGAAAATTTATTGCCGGTTGGTATATGATCCATTTTGCCAAAGAAGGTACGAGCCACGATTACTAGATTTTGTTTCTTCTTTAAGGCAATTTGTAGCAAGGTGATTGACCTAGAAAAATTGCCAAAGCTAGAACATGAAATAGCCAAGATTTTAAGTGAGCTGGAAATGTATTTTCTGCCTTCGTTCTTCGACATCATGGTTCATTTATCATTTCACTTAGTTAGAGAGATAAAGCTATGTGGCCCTGCTTATTTGAGATGATGTACCCAGTATAGTGTCACTTGAAAGTATTAAAAAGATATGTAAAAAATCGAAGTCAGCCCGAGGGGTGTATTGTTGAAAGGTATATCATGGAAGAAGCAGTTAAATTATGCACTGGATATCTCTCTAATGTGGATGCCATTGGGTTGCCAAAGTACACAAAAGACACCACAGGTGAACAGGGTAGAATCATTGGGAAGAAACTCATTAGCATAGATAAGACACAATGGGAGCAAGTTCACTTGTATGTTTTACACAACAATGAGGAAGTTCAACCATATATCAATGAACACAAGGCAATAGTTAAAAGTCAGAATGAAGGTAAAAATGAAATATGGCTAGCCATATATCACAATTGGCACTTTATATATTGGTTTAGAACTCGCATCTCTGAGGAGTCTCACCCATCAGAAAGGTTGAGGTTTTTGGCTAGGGGTCCCAGATTTGAAGTATTTTCTTATACAGGTTATGTAATTAATGACTTTACATTTTATATGAAAAGCCAAGATGCTCGGAGCACTATGCAAAATAGTGGTGTAACGCTTAAAGCTCAATCAATGCATGTCTCTAGTTTTAAAGACAAGAACCCAATCTATGCAATGATGTCATATTTTGGAATTATAGAGCACATTTGGGAATTGAATTATATCAAGTTTCACGAACTTGTCTTTTGTTGCACGTGGGTTGACAATAAAAACGGCTTTCGAATTGATGAGTTAGGTTTTATTCAAGTAGATCTTAATAAGGTGGCTCATAAAGATGAACCATTCATTTTGGCATTACAAGCTCGACAAGTGTTTTATGTGTCAGATCCAGCGCATAAAAATTAGTCGATTGTTCTTTTAACAAATAAAATAGTGGGTAATGAGGAGGATGAAGATTTCAATGTTGAGGATAACCCTTTTATGAGAATATCGTGGACATTTGATGTTTCAACTAGGGATCATGCCTTCTATATTAGAGAAGATCACGCGGAAGGGATTTGGATTGATAAGGGATATGTAGAACACACAAAAGAAAAAAAAAGAAAAAATAAATTTTAACACTTGTAAGTTCTTTATTTAAATTTCCTTTTAATTGTTAAAAATTTACTTTTTTCCTTTCAGGTATATGGCTACCCTACTTGAGAACAGTGGTGATGCTCCACCCACTAAAGAAGAAGCATTCAATGAGGTTAAACGGGGTAAAACTATTATGAAAGCAGTAATACGGGCTCGAGCAGCTGGTCATAAATTACCAGTAAATTGAAATGATAGGGGCCAATTAGTTAAGTCTCCTCAGTTGGCCAGTTACATAGGGGTCTTAGCTCGTCATTATGTTCCCTGTTGCATTATAGACTGGAGAAAGAAAAATGACCCACAACTTGAAGAAGCAAAAAATAATATATGGGAAGATTTGTGTATATCTTTTGACTTGGATGAGAGTCATAGGCATTATATCATGAGAAAAGCAGCATATGCTCATAGAAAGTTTCAAGCTACCCTTACAACATATCATCTAAAAGATGCAAATGAAGAATTCAATCCTCATCCTCCTAAAATGTATCCAGAGATCCAGCAAGAGCATTGGGATAAATTTATTAAAATGCACCAACAGCCTGAATTTCAACAGATCAGCCAGGTCAATCGCTCTAGAGCCGTAAGTACTCCTTTTCAATATAGAGCAGAGCTATTCAGATATTGAACATGATTTAGTAAGTTTCAATTAATATCGTCTGTTGATATTACTTATATATATAAGGAAATGTTTTTTAATTATTCTAATATCTTCTTTAAATAAAGAGAAGAAGTTGGACCTAATGCTCCAATTTCTCGAGCTCTTGTTTGGAAGACTGCTCGAGAAGATAAAGAAGGCAAATTACCTGATGAACGCACTCGAAAAGTCTGGGAGGATTGTGTGAGTATTAATATTTTAGTGTATTACTTTATTTACATTATTTACTTAATAATTAGTTTACAATTTATTCAACAGGAAGCATTATCATAATCAATATCACAAGATGATGTAGGAGAGCATGTGGATGTCCTTGGTAGGGCATTAGGAGCTCCAGAGGTCTCTGGTTGTGTTAGAGGAGTCGGATTTGGCATTTCTCAGGGCACCTACTTTGGACGTCGGTCCAAAATTTTTGCTGAAGATGATTTTAATGCAAGGATGGCAAAAATGGAGGCGAGAATGGAAAAAAAATTCAAGCTCAAATGGAAAAGAGATTTGAGCAAATGATTGGAGTTATAAATGTGCCACAAGGTAGCCCCAATGATAAAGATAGTTGCTCTTTCCATACTAAAGAAGACTTTCCTAAGGTTATAATTTTTCTTTCTATTATCTTCTCTTTATTCACAAATTATGTTTCACATTTTTTTAAAATATTATTTTTTAATTTTTAGGGCGAGTCTCAATGTCAATTATGGTTAGAATCACCACATTATCGTGTTGTGGCACTCGGATCTATGTATAATGACAATAGTGTTACTATACACTCTAGAGCATTGCCTGCTGATCACTTAAAGGTGACTATAACTATTCCAATAGAAAATGACGCTGAGTTACTAGTGCAAATAGAAGATGAGGATATATTCATGATTTTTGATGCCGTTAGAACTTATGTGGCTTGGCCTTCAAAGCTCATTAAGTTACAAGTATAATAATTGATAGTTCTTTAAAATCATTCATGTTTTCTTACGGCCTTACCAATCTATTTTACATCTTATAGTCCTCAAAATTTAAAGAAGTTGTAAAGAAGCCAATCAAAGCGAAAGGAAAGCCATTGAAAGGATCTACCTCTGTGACTAAGGCAGGGAAGACCAGCATAGAATCTACTTAGTTGAAATATCCTTATCAAAATGCATTTGAAGTAATTATGCGGACAATATTTAAAAATGAGATCCATGAAGTAGAATTTGAAAAGGAGATTTATGGTGAAATAACTAGCGAAAAATTAGCAAATGAAAATATTAACGAGATTCTAACCAAAGATTGGCTACAAACCACACAAATTAGTTTATACATCAGGTACTTTCTCAATTTTATTACTTATTGTGGTATTTATTTAATTTTAGTTGTGAATGATTCTATTTGTTTTCATTTTAGAGACTTATATCATACTTTTGTGGTGCCGGGCTCATTGATAACAAAATTTTCATTTATTAACCCGCACAACACTAGTACCTACAGTGTTGAGTACCATTCTCAAAAGATTACTGATGCATTCAAAGTCAAAGGCGAAAGAAACATGTTATTTTTAGCTCCTCACAATCCAGGGTAAATTGTTATTATTGTTTATTTTTAACTTTAGTTGATATTTTAGTTAATGAAATATTTTTTTTTTCAAGCAATATTAGGTGCTTATTTGTATCAATCCATTCGTCCTTGTGATTTATTATCTTGATTCATTAAGAGATAGTGACTTTAAGAACTACAAATCTATGAGGATATTATTTAATCAGTAAGTTTTTAGTTCTATATTCTTTATATATGTTTATTATAACAATTAATTTTTACTTGGTATGCTTAATAATTATATAATAGGGCTGTAGCACGTTATCGAGGAGGTGAAGGTCTCCCTACAAACACCTGAAGACTTGATCCTGTTGAGTTTTATTCATGAAAAAGAATAAAAGTTTGTATTATTTTCTTAATAAAATAAGTTGGTACATATCTAAATGATTATTTGATTGATATTTTATATTTGTTATTCTGAATATGTTATTCTGGATTGATGAAGAATTTTTAAAAAATTCTGGAACTTCCAAGTTATAGGGGAGACTCTGCCGGATTTTTGACAGCAAAGACTTGTATCATATATATAACTTCATCACTGAAGTATTTTAAATTAAGTTAGAATTTATTTCTACCATATTTTGATAATGATATCTTTTATTGTTTTATAGGTACCTATACAATTACAAGGTTGGGAGTATGGATACTATGTTATGAAGTTTATGAGAGAAGTAATCATACAACAAGAGTTGATCATTCCTGAAAATGTAAGTCAAAAGCTTTGAAATTAAGTTAATATAATGTTAATTACTTATATATTGCTTTTATATCTTATGTAGTATTTTGTTGGAGCAAGATATTCACATTTTACTATAGAACAAATAGAAGATTTAGTTGAAGAATGATCAGAACATATTATTGGCTGTTTGTGATAGGAAGTTAGATTTCAATGTTAAAAAAATAACAATAGTTTCATTTGTTAGGCTTGTTAGAAATTAAACTAGGTTAGTTAGAAAATTGAAATTGTTGTATCAGTTTCAAATTTTTTTTTGTATATAAATTTTTATGTTGATATTATTTTTAAATTAATTTTTAATATTATGATTTGCCATTGTTAAAGATATTTAAAAGGGGAAATTTGAAAATTTTGATTTAAAAAAAATAAATATAATATACAGGAGCGGTCATTTGAATAGCGCTCCTATAAATTAACTTAAAGAGCGCTCCAGTAAGTTGTCAGCATACGGGAGCGCTCCTATAAAGAGCGTTCTTGTATAGGGGCATACAGGAGTGCTCTTCTAAAGAGCGCTCCGGTAAGGTGTCAACATACGGGAGCGCTCCTATAGAGAGCGCTTCTGTAAGCATCATACAGGAACGCCCTTATATAGAGCGCTCTCATATATGACGTGTACTCTTAGAAACCGGAGCACTCTTACGGGAGCACTTTTCTAAAAGCGCTCCTGTATAGCGTACATATAGAAGCGCTTTTTTTAAGCGCTCTTGTACATTTTGGAGCTTTTGATATGGGAGCGCTTCAAAAGGGCTCCCTAAGGTAAAAAAAAAGCGCTCTTGTAAGCTTATTTTGTAGTAGTGTCTGTACACCAGCACCATAAAAGTTGATCATAATTTACCAAGCCAATAATCACAATGAGAAGCACCAGAAAGGACGTGAATTTGATTGCAACTTATGTTTCTTCATCTCTGCCCATGGAATTTCTTCTTGAAAAAATTTATACTCCATTGGGTAACAGAAAGGTGCAAGCAGCATATGATGTGCAAAATTCACGTTGAAGATTCCTAAGGGGAAAGCACTTTAATTTATTCAATGTCCTCCCTTAGCTCCTCTCTCGACATGAATGTGTGGTGAAGGTGAACTGTATGTTGGGAATTCTACATGCACGCAAATGTTTGATATAAGCCATTGTACATGTTCTTTTCTTTCTTAGTAGTGTGAACACTATATTTTATCCGAGCATTTTTTAAATTTAATAAAAATAATAATGAATTTAACCAAAAAAATATAAAAATACAAAAATAAAATTTAATCCTTTTTAGGATTATATTTTCAAAAAAAATAAATTTTTAATTAATAGGGTTTAATTTTATTTTAACTTATATAATAATTTATTGGTTAAGATTTTATTTCTTTTAGTTCATTAAAATAGCAAAAAAAAATATAAAAATACAAAATGAAATTTAATCCTTTTTAGTATTATATTTAAAAAATAAAAAATAATCTAACAAAAAAAAAGTATTATTGCTTCATGCAAAATCAAGTTTTCCTCTCTTAATCTGATTTCCAAAATTTATGATTAACATAATATGAAAAATGAAAAAGAAAGCATTAAAAAAATAGGGAGAGGCATTAAACATTAACAAAAGAAAAAAAGAAGAAGAAAAGGGCATTAAAATTTATATATATATATATATATATATATATTTGGGCGGATGAAATGCTGAAAGGATTAGCAATTTCACCCAACCCTTAGGTTGCTTTTGGGCTAAACACAGAAGGATATACACGTGAGGCAGAGCACACACACGTGACATAGAGCAGAACACACACACAGTAGACACAGACGGCACACAGCAGAAGAAGAGCAGACACTAAGGTGAAATAGAGAACACAGAGACGCACGGGCGAAAAAAAGAAAGAGGCAGAGCAGAGTAGACACACGATTGCAGAGCACGCAAGCTACTTTCACACACAAATAGGTCTATGATCTTTTGATCTCTCATGCAAAGATTTGGAGAGGGGATTTAATATTTAGGGATTCTTTCTGGAGGACAAGGATAGAGACAAAAAAAAGAAGAGAGACAAAGAGGAAGAGGTCACCGGCAGAGATGGAGAGAGGATGAAAAAAAATAGAGGTGAGAGCTTAAGGAATTTCTGGAAGGGAGATCAAATCTGGGATTGAGAGTGATTTTCTAGATCTGAGCTCGAGAGAATGAATGAGGAATAAGGATAGAGAATGCTGAACGATTGAGGATTCGAAGGGAGAAGCGAAGAATGACTAAGAGCCAGAGAAGAGTCATAGAGCACTCAGAGGGAAGAAGTGAGCAGCTGAGAATTCAAAGAAGGCAGAACTGCGCACAAAATAAAGAGAAAAGAAGAAAACCAATAAAAGTGAGGAAGGGCTTAGTTTTAAATGAAAAGCCAAATGACCTGGTTGCATCTTGATCTCGCATGTATTTCTTGTCGCAAGTATAAGTTTATCAACTAATGCTATGATTTATGACCTTTATATGAGATTCATAAATTCGAAAGCATGGTGATCTAAAACTATTCTAAAGGATGCTTGTATGATGTTTATAGCACAGCTAGCCTCTATTAATTCTTGTTCTTAATCTCTAAGTAAGTATGATGTTAAGCATGCAAGGATTGGCTTAATTTTGGGGCTGAGAAGCTTGATCATAGTAATGTTGTTAGAATGTTGAAAATAATCCTAACTGTCATTAAAGAATTTTCGAGCAGGATCTTAACGAAGATGACATATTTTGCTTAAAGATTTAGTAGTATGGATGAAATCTGGTTTAGTTTTGTATATGCATATACTGAATGAGTGCTTGTTCTAGCTGGATAATCTGTGCACGTTTAAAGCCATTTAAAGGTTTGCAGATGGGTTTGCAATCTATGATGCCTTTTTTGTTAAATTTTAATCCTTTCTCAAAAATCTGATTTCATGATCTCATTGCTTGTATTATGAGAACTATCCAAATTTAGGTGTTTGATGATATATTAGTATGCTCTTTAGTCTGAAGGTTGTAGGTAAAGGCTGTGGTTTGAATTATTGTTTTTCTTTCTTTCTCTCTGTTTTTTTTTTTGAGATCTTATGGCCTGAACAATCTCCCATCAATCATATTAATCATGAAGCTTGCTTAATAGCTGTGAAGATTTGCTAAACTCTACACTTTATGTTGTATGTGTTAATAGTTTATTTGTAAAGAGAATTGGCACAGTAGGTTTGTTATGGTTCGTACTATAAGATATCCAACGTGTCTAATTTGAATACATTTAGTTTTGCATGGTTGATTCTCAAGTTGCCTTTCAATCTTTTTAATTACTATGTTTTAGAAAAAGATAACGTGCGGTAGCATGGTTTGATCCTTATATCAATCTTTGTTCATTTGTGGTAGTTTATTTATGCGCACCGGTACTCATGGCTGAAAACATATATATACATCATGATGCTTTCTATTTCCATATGTTGTAATGATTTCCTTATAAGAGGCTAAAGTATAAAAAGGAAAAAAAAAAAGAGATATATCTATGGTTTATTTGTTCTGTGGGATATCAAGAATCTACGCAAGCATTTAAATTTAAAATGATTCTATATCGTGAAAATTAATAAGATTTTGCATGTATGAGAATTAATTTTATATATGATAATAGGGGTTCCAATAGCCTATCATTAAAATTAACTTTTTTATAATAAATTAATAATTTATTTAAATCTCATGTGAGATTTCAAGAATCTTCGTATAGATTTAAATTAATCACATCATAATGTGGGACAATAAGTCTTCATAGATGTTGCGATTCTCAATTTCTATAATAAATAATAAATAAAATATGAGATTTCTAACTCTTTACCTTTTTTTATTCCAAAAGAAATTTGAAATTGAGAAAACAATTAAATTATTTTTTGTAATTTAAAACACACATATCAAAAATCTCAAAAATTATTTTATTTGCAAAGTGATGAATTATTTTAATCTAGACTAATTATTATTTTTTTATTTCTCATAAAAAATAAACTATATCTTAATGGTCATTAATTTATTTGTTTTAAATTTTTGCCATGAGTGACAATAATTCTCTGTAGGCACATCAAATAAATAAAAAATATTTCAAAATTACCTTTTTTTTAATGGTGATAAAGTGAATCTCTAAGATAAGAGAAAGTATAATAACAAACATATTCTTTTCAGTTAAAAAAAACAACGAACATATTTTTAAAGTATAAAAGGGGAGTAAGAAAGTAAAACTAAATTATCTTTGCAAATTAAAATGCACCAACTCACATTTTAGAAAAATTTTTTGTTTGCAATTCATAAATTATTTAACTTTCTCTTTTCATAAAAATCATAAAGAAAACTATTGATACTAATTTCAATCCTGAACTATGTGGACTTTGATCCCCATCATAGGGTATATAGGCCTCAAAGTACAATTATAAGTCAAGTTCTTCCTTGTAAATAAATAAATATTTCTCATTTAATTATTATCATTTTTTATGCCAAAATGTGAATAAGAAAGGGATAATTAAAATAGCTTTAAAACTATATTAATTTTGTGTAATAAACTTTAGATAACCGTTCTCACAAACAGATGTTGTGGGGTGCCTAACATTTTTCCCATGCTCAATTGACTCCCGAACCTATTTTCTATTTTCACATATCATCCTTATTCTCTTTTAAACGGTTTTTCAAGATTTTCCTCAAATTTTGGTGGCGACTCCCATTCTTCAGTCTTCTTTCCGAAGGCCGGAACCTCCTTTCTTAGGTGCCGTCCACATCACATTTTCAGATGCGACAAGTAAGATTACATAAGGGAGCTCATTCTTTTCCTAACATAATAGATATGGAATTCCCACAAATATCCCATCACAGTGATTCAAGGGTCCATCCAAAAACATACAACGAAAACTAGTCATTGGCTCAAGTTAAATATACAATAATCACTTTCATGTAAAACTTAATATATAAAAATCCATTAGGGTCCAAACAAAATTTTCCAAACATTTAAATTCACAACACACAACCCAAAGCCAATAAATCAGGGTGAACAACTTCACCACAAAATCTGCATGCCAGACAACATAAATTACTCCTTACATCAACCACATATGATTAAAAATCTCAGTTAAGTTATAGCATCAACCCAATATACATAAATAAATATATGTATGTATGCATATATAAATTTAAAAAATCTCATTTCATCATCAAAACATAGTTTTAATATTTTAAGT